TATTTAGTATGATGTTAGCTATGAATTTTTCATATATGAGTTTTGCCTATATTTTTAAAAACCAACTTTAGCTTCCCAATTGCCCAGTGTCAGAGTCTACTTTGAATTCTTTGTTCATTCCCTAAATATTGGTTCTGTTGTTGATTTCTAGAATGTGCCTTATATGCATTAACAATTTTTAGTGACATTGCCTTCATTCAGGATGTTTGTACCGTCTACAATATCTTCTTAACGTGTCTTCTGTGTTCTTATTTATCTTGCAAGGTATATTTTCCTAAAGATTAAGTTAAATTTCCTAAATCGCTACTCTCTTCAGTTTAATGTCTTACCAATAATGGGCCCCTATTTCAGAGTAACTCCAAATGCCTGAATCTTGTCTTCAGGGCCCTTCATGATGGGACTATGGACCTCTATCACTAAGCATAGTACAATATATATTTAGGCAAATGATATAACAATATTTCTTCATTTCCTTTGCCAAAAAAATCATTACTTTCAACACATTCTCAAGCCATTTACTATATTCAGCCTTGTATAATCACTTGTTTTTTGTGTCTTTAATAAATGCATTAAAATGTGAGCTTCTTAACTAAGATTCCATATATGGAGGACCTGTATTCTTCAAAGCCCCATTGTGCTTTTATAATAATTTGTTCAGTGATGTAGAATAGAATGCAATGGAATTAAATGAAATGTCAAATCATTTAGTGGGATTACATCTAAACTCTTCCCCATTACATGGAAATCTAGATTATTTTTAAGTCAGCAGAAGAGGATATTTCAGTGTTAGCAAATCTTTGAGATTAACTAAACTTCAAGGAAAGGATAGGTGACTGAACTTCTAAGAAGTAATTTAATTTGAATTAATCAGTATTTAACATAGACCATCAAATGAAGTCAGAATATTGTGCACATGTCCATTTATATATGAAAATTTTAATAGCCTGCATGGTAAGGACTTTGCTGATGCTGTTATTAAGCTAATGGAGCTAAGTAAAAAATCTAAATCTCTCAAAAGAACTGGAAACATAGCTAATAAACTAAGCTTGAAACATAATTTCAGTCAGACTGTGATATGAGACAAATGTTTCCTCAGTCAAATATTTTTTAATTAAAATACCCTCCAAAATAGCAAACTTCATTTTCATTAATGAATGTTCAAGCCCACAATAGACTTTTGCTCAATAATGTTGTCACTTCAAGGGAAATCCTTTCATTTCTTATCAACATAACTAATAAAGTCTGTCTTTTAAGACAGAAATAACCAACCAATTATTTCTGACATGTTCTTTCACAAAGGGAACAAGAGGCTCAATTTGTTCACTTTCCAGAGAATCACTTTTGAGTCACTCATATCTAGGTAAAGCTTTAAATTCTGTACCCAAAGCAACAGCTATAAGCAATGAATGATTTCTTCCAAATTTTTCAGAAAATTGGAACTTTTTCTAGCTACCCAGAGTTATCAGTTTGGCTAGATTTAATAGTAACTACCAATATAGGATTGATTGCTTTACCTTGCTTAATTGGCAAATTCAGTAAAAGTGATTTATCTTCATGGCATTTCCCAGTGGTTTAATTTCTAGCCTGCCCTTCGAATAAAATGTTGATATTAAGATAGCAAAGGATCTTATCACAGAACACAGATAAGCATATCTGTAATATTCATGGTATACTTCTGAAATTTGCAAACCTTTTTATTTTTAGAGAGAGAAAGAGAGAAAGAGAGTACACACCCATGTGAACCCTGTGATCTGAGCAGAATTAATTTTTTTCTCAGGAACACACTTGTATTTTTTTCTTTTGTTATCTGTAATCATGTCTTAGGGAAAAAATGAGGATGATACAAGGATTAATATCAAACTACACAAAGCTATAAAAACATCCTAAGTGCTATATTAGGTGAGAAGTGTGTCATGCATCAGAGTGGGGAGGCTTTTTTGACTATTCCATAGTTACTGATACATTCTGTTGTCAGAAGAAATATTTTTTATTCACTTAAAATTCTTGGGAATAAAAGCTGAAAAGTATATCAATATCCATTTTAATAAGGCTGTATATTAAACTCAGTTACCTAACGAAAGAAAATGTATCTTGTTTTATAAATCATGGCAAGATTAACAAAAAGTTCACTACTTATAGTGTAAACTTTAAGAAACTATACATATTTCACATTTAAATACATTTAACACCTTTATAAATTGATTGCCAAATAATTTTCTTCTCACTAGAATTAATTCCAGTAACACAAAGAGTATTATAAATTGACAGGCTTTCTCTTGGCTTCGTTTTTTCATTGTCATAATTTTATGAAAAATAATCAATCCTGAAGTGGGTTTATGAATTAAAGGTGAAAGTTGGCCTCAATTTCTGAACCAGAAAACCTATTCCTTCTGCTTCTTTTTATGCTCTTAAATGAATAAGTCCTGAATGCACAAGATTATACAATCAACTTGCATATCATTCTGTTGCTTTTTGTTTCAAATTATTCTCTTCAAAGCAATTTAATACTAATCAGAAATGGAAAATTTTCAAATAATATAATCTATTCATATTTCATGACAGTATCAGTCAAATATTGTCCATTCTATTCATTCTATATTTTCCAGTGGAAAGTACAAATCATTTAAGGTAATTGTCAGATTAGAAGAACATGGATGCCCCTAACATTAATAGAGTCTCTTCAGTTTCAAGCTAAAACTTTTCTCCATAGTTGCCCTAAGTCATGCAATTCTTCTGCCATGTATCTTTTAGAGTCTTTCTTACTAGTTTCATTCTTAGACTCCGGGCATCCAGTGCCAATACCTTTCCTCCTGATATTCAATTATACTGGTCTTATTCTTGCCCTTTCCTGAAATGCCTCACGGTCCCAAACTAATGGAAACATTAAAATTATGACTGGAAGAAACACTAGAAGCCAACTGGCTCACTTTTCTTTCCAAAATGAAGAAGTTGGAGAACCTGAGAGATTAAGTCATTTCTAAAAATCACACTTTTATTTAGTGGTAAGGCTGGGATAGTATTATGGCTTCTAGAATGGGAAGACTGTCATAAATTCCTCCCTAAATAGGTGCTGAGTCAAGGACTTAGATACAAATTGTTTATTCAGGAAGTGATCTCAGGAGACAATATGAGAGGGTGGAAATGTGAGACAGGTTACCACATAAACATCTAGGATCCAGTCTTGCTGGGAAACTTCTGTGAGATTGTAGGAATTGAGATGCACTTTGGCCAGGATTCTGGGGTGTTTATCCATCATCTCCCACTTGTTGGCTGAGACTCTCCCTCAGCCAGCAAGTGCCCTAAGAGAAGCCACCGGTGTATACAGAAACTGTCTTCATGCAACTGCCAGTGAAGCCCAAAGGCAAAACTGCAGGCTCAGAGTCTACCAGAGGAATGCAGGGTCCACATAAGAGAAGAGGTCCAATTCAAGATCTAGCACTGTATCTAACTTTTTTAAAAAAATTTCTTTATTGATTAACATATTACATATATGCCCTTACTCCTTCATTACCCTCCAAACCTCCCCTCTCGTGCCCTCACCCTCCTATTGTCTGTGTCCATTGGTTCGGCTTATATGCATGCATAAAAGTCATTTGGTTGACCTCTCACCCTCCCCACCTCCCCTACCTTCCCTCTGAGGTTTGAAGGTCTGATGGATATTTCTTTGTCTCTGGATCTGTTTTTGTTCATCAGTTTATATTGTTCATTATATTCCATAACTGAGTGAGATCATGTGTATCTAACTTCTTTCTTTATTATTAATTTTATTTTGTTGTTTAAAGCATTACACACAATAATACATATATCTCCTTCAGATGCTCAATTAAAATCTATGTGACAACTTAACCAATCCTAGTCATAACTTTAAATAAAAATTAAAATACAGTTGATACTTTTCTTCCTGTTAAGAGTAGTAGATGGAGATTACCAAAGCTATAGCTCTCCTTAAACTGCTTGATATTAAACTTCTGTGGCCAAAAGTCAGCTGTGGGGGCCGTATTAGCAAGGACCTGTCTCATGTGTCATCCAAACCCAAAGCTCATTAGCAAAGAGCGTGGGACTTGGAAAGAAATGTATCTTTTATCTGCACAGAAGAACTGTGAAGCTAGTTCTGACAATATTATAAAAGGAGAGAATGAAGTTGGGTGAAATGCAGTCTTAGGAGGTTTTGTTGAAATAGAAAGTATTTCCCTTGAAGGTCATAAATCTAAGAAACACAGATCATGAGTAAAGTTGTCAGATAAAATTCAGGATGCCCAGTAAATTTTGAATTTTAAATAAAGAACTAATAATCTGACACATACTAAACTAAAACATCTTTATTGTTTATCTGAAAATCAAATGTAACTACCCTTTCTCATATCTTTTCTTGCTAAACCTTGCATACCAAATCCTGGGCCAATCATGAAGGTTCATCTGTCCCAGAGTTAATGATTGTAGAAGAAGCAACCTCGAAATTTCAGATCTGAAACATTCTTACAGAAATCCTAATCACAGAAACAATAAATTATTTTTGGCAAGCAGGGAGCACAGTTGAAAATATACAAATAAACTAGAGAAAGATAAGCAAAAAATATTAGATGTTGTGTTTTATAGGAAAGTTATGTTATAAAGGTTCACTTTTATATCAAACTTGGCCTGCTCCAAGAAATTATGAATTGAAGGAAAAAATGTTTTAAAAAATACTTGTCTTATTACTTAAATTTGCACTGCATGTAATCCTTTCAGACACTCTCTGCCAGGAAATTATATACACATATTGTTCTCTTCCAGGAATATGCTTTAATTTTCTTCTCAAATATAAAAAATCAAGTTACGCTCTATTTGAAAAAATAAACATTCCAAAAACTATTAGGCAGAGTTATTTTAAAACTCTTCTTGATTGAAGTTTTAGTTATTTCCTATCTGTAAAAAACAATATATATACATGTGTACCTGATGTACCTATATATAAAGTGTTAGTTTTCCTATAGAAAGTAAATAGCATAACATATACTAACCTTATGTTGTTGTATTTGGCGTTTTAGGTCCTCAAGATCAGGTCCAAGAGTCTCTGTCTCCATTTTCCTTGTTCTCTCTTCTGTTTTTGTAAGCCAATCATTTAACTCTTTTAGTTGCTGATTCTGGAGATCCATTAGGACTTTATGTAAACTGAAAATTTGAAAGATGGCTATTATTATTACTTCTGTAAAAGCAACTTTACTTACGATTATTAAATGTGAAACAAGGTAACAGTGTTAACATTAATAATTTATGGTATATTCACATTGTCTGGCATCTGTTGGACATTAAGAAGGTAAGTAGAGTCCACAATCAACCATCTATGATGTTATTCTTTCTCTGATTTATTGCAGTTCACACATCCCAATTTTTAGAAAGCTTTAACTCAATGTGAAAATGGTTAAGTGAAGTGAAAGTCATCTTTGGGAACTGAGTTGTAAATGTATCTTGGTATTCATTTGTTTATATTTCCATTGTTTTAATATGTGGGGTAATTCAAGATAGCCACAGATTCTTTTTCACTCTTCCCATCAAGAGATGGAGTCTATGTCCCATCCTTGTAAATATGAACTTCCCTAGTTATTTGTTTTGACCAACAGAATATGGCAATGAACCAGTTGCATTTGTAGGTTATAAGATAGTAGGCAGCATTTAGACACTCTTTCTCAGAACCCAGCTGCCATGATGTGAGAAAGGCCAGCCTCAACTACTGAATGATGAGAGTCCATGCTGAAAGTGACTCAGGAAGATTAAACTGCTATCTTACAAGTTGGGCTTTCTTCTGAGAACAGTTCAATGAGTGACCCCAGCCATATCAAATCACACAACAACCCTGTCCATATTCCTCATATACAAAATCATGATGTAATGATAAAGTATGTGATCAGCAACAATCATTTATAGTTACCTAATCATATGTTATGTATAAATAGATAAGTTAATAATGTTTTCTCAAAGATGTAGATCGTAACGGGCTGGGTAATGAATTTAAAGTCCAAAGGCTTGGGTTTTCAGCCAGGCTATGTGCCCTAGAATCAAGTTCTTATACTTTCTCTAATAGAATTCAGCATCTGGGACATGTAATAAGATCTGGGCACTCCATGGTAAGATGAAAATTAACACTGAGGTTATTTCAACCATTAATTCAACATAAATTTGAGACTCAAATGAGAAGTATGAATACCTATTTTAAGGTAAATATTCTGTATGGAGGAACATGTAAAGCATTTTTAGAAACAATAGTATACTGAACACTGATCTTATAATACTGATAAGGAGGACACATAAAACCAGTTTCCAGCCGAGACTAGTTTGGCTCAATGGATAGAGCATCGGCCTGGGGACTGAAGGGTCCCAGGTTCGATTCCGGTCGGGGGCATGTACCTTAGTTGCGGGCATATCCCCAATAGGGGGTGTGCAAGAGGCAGCTGATCGATGACTCTCATCGATGTTTCTAACTATCTCTCTCCATTCCTCTCTGTACAAAATCAATAAAATATATTTTTAAAAAAACAAAAAAAAACAAAAAAACAAAAAACCAGTTTCCAATTGTGGTTTTATTAACCAAGATTTTGAGTGGAATATCATGATGGAGAGACACATGCCTAGTCTCTGGATGCCACCAAAAAAAGCTTTACTTTGAAGACAATAAGAGCCCCTTGGAGAAACAGCCTAGTAGCTTGCTTATTCATATGGCTCTAGCAGTCTTTCCAGAAAAAGAATAAAGTATTGTTTCCTAAGAGATGGAAAAGAAAGAACCTGAAGACATTCTGAGAACCTCAAACTTGAGGAAACCACCCAAATATATAGGTATTGCAGGAAAAGCCTGATGGCAACTGTGTGGCTTGGCTTATTCACCCTGTAGACTATTAACTCAATCTGGAGATTCCTTATGAGATTCCAGAAAAGCAAAGCAGGTTTTTAAAAGCCTATATTAATCAATTACTATTCTTGTTGTGCTTATACAAATAATCAGGCCAAATTGAAACTGGACTTAATGCAATAAATAGTCTTGATTTAACTATCTTTGATAAAAATGGGGGTGTTAACTCTGGCTGGTTGTACTCAGTGGTACTGTATCATTCTCTCCACTTTCCATTCCCGGTCAAGGACACATACCTAGGTTGAAGGTTCGTTCCCTGGCCCAGGTCAGGGCACATGTGCAGGAGGCAAGTAATTGATGTTCTCTCACATCAATGTTTCTCTCTCTCTTTCCTACTCCCTCTCTCCCTTCCACTCTCTAAAAATCAATGGAAAAATTATCCTTGAGTGAGAATTAACAAAACAAAACAAAATAAGGCTCATTTTAGGGAAAGTTGTGTTTTGATAGATCTGTAATACTGATAAATAGATATGGATGTTAGGCTTTAATTCAGTTAACTCTTCAGATTTTTAAAAAAATATATTTTATTGATTTATCAGAGAGAGGAAGGGAGAGGGATAGAGAGCCAGAAACATCAATGAGAGAGAGTCATCGATTAGCTGCCTCCTGCACACCCCTACTGGGGATGTGCCCGCAACCAAGGTACATGACCTTGACTGGAATCAAACCCGGGACCCTTCAGTCCGCAGGCCGACACTCTATCACTGAGCCAAACCGGTTTCGGCGACTCTTCAGATTTTTATTGTTCATGTATAAACTGATTTTGGATCCTGATTTTTCTAATTTTCTTACAAAAGAATGTTTTATTTTTCTCCCATATTTCACTTGAATTATTGACAACTACTGATGGAGTATAATCCATAGAGAATTTACTTGAGCACCCAATGACATCACCAGATATATTAAACTCCAGACAAAGAGGATCTATCAGATTGTCACTACTTGATTTCATTCCAGCAAACTACTTGTATCTTAAAGTCTCTTCAACTGACAGTTTTACAAACTCAAAAAATAGTTTATAATTTGCTGTGTTCATTAACCTTTGCGGGGTTTCTCTGTTCTCATAGACATGCACCTTATTTACCAAATTACTTTGCATACACAATATAGGTCTCACTCTGGAAGCCCATCTGCATCACTGTCTCCTGAAGTGAGACTCAATAATTTAACTGAACTGACTTATTTTCATGATTACTTAATTGAGTCAATGAAATATGAAGCAATCTATCAACTCTGCTTCCAGAATGTCAACCTTTATTGTTTAAAAGGAGAGATTAAAAGGACCAAAGTTCTGCCACTTTGAAACTGTTTTCTCTTTCCTGCCCAAGAGATTCAAATGGAGAGAAGCTGCTTCAGAAGGGAGATCTCAGAATGTATCCCTTAGCCTAATTTGAATTAAGTAAACAGGTGACACACCTTCATCCAGAGAAGCTCCTCCACCAACTTAATCTGGGGCACTAGAAAGTAAGCCCCACCCTCTGTCATCTGGTTCATATCTTTCCTAGACCTTTAGTTATTATAATTCTCCTTCGCATTTTTATGCCATGTCTTTTTAACCTTCTTGTAAAATTTGTCACCTCTAGAATATAACAATTCTATATCAAAATGATGATACTTCAGGGATTCCGGCCCGTCCCTACTTTGGAAGAATGAGCTAACAGCCTCTTTGTTCCAATCTGAAATTTTATTCCCTTGTCTTCCTTTGATCAGACAGGGGGAGACACTATGCAGGCAGGGACCATGACCCTTGTAGCAGGAAGCAGTTACATCCTTCCTCATCACCCCTAAATGATGTCAGGGATGGAAGTCGGGATGGGGGGGAGAGATGAGACAAGCTAGTAAGCCAGGATAAGTGGAACAGGGAAACTGAGACAGTTAAATGGCCAAGATAACTAAGCACACTTAAGAACAAATGGTTTATACTCCACCCCAACCAGATGATAAATACCTTAAATCACCCTACTCAGGGGGAGATACCAGTAGATAACAGAATTCCAATTAGTAACATTTGGGCAAACCACACCTGAGGACATGTGAAGTTATGGGAATAAATCTCATTTTAGCACATCAGCATAAAACATAAATACTCTATTGAGATCCTCCCTAAAATCTCCCCAAAACTCCCAGCTTTTAAAACCCTCAAAGGTTCAAGCATGTGCTCTCCTTCAGAAGAGCACTCCCATACCTTTCCCTCTCTTATTTTCCCAAAGACATGCATCTCCTAAACTCTAAAAGACTGCACAAGGCTTGTAACCAGGGAGCAATGGGCAGAAGCAACTCATCTCAGGCTAACCCCCTGAACCTGTCTCCAAGACCCCCTTTTCTCTGACTTCTTAGTGAGCCAAAGAAGCTCAACCTAGGTTCATTTCCCTGCCTAGTCTCTCTCCCATTGCTTTTTCTCTCTAGGCCTTTCCTTGTTTACTGTCACCAACTTTACTAAACACCCTCTGTAAATTAAAAACATATTTTAAAAAGTTTTTCCTCTTAAAACAAATGTATGCATCCTCTTCGCTACAGCATTATCCACTCCCACTAATTGGTATACTGATATCCTGGGCGAGGGAAGAAACCAAAAACAAAGGGAAGAGTGGTTAGGGGCAATCAGACAAGCAAGTGAGTGGTTACAGTGATAAGGCATGCAGGCCAGCAGTTGGGGGTGATCAGGCAGGCAGGCAGAGTAGTTAGGGGTGATCAGGCAGGCAGGCAGATGAGCGGTTAGGAGCCAACAGTCCTGGATTGTGAAAGGTATATCCAACTGCTGGTTTTGGCAGGATCAGGCCTAAACTTGCAGTCGGACATCCCCAGAGGGGTCCTGGATTGCAAAAGGATGCAGGCCGGACTGAGGGACACCCTCCTCCCATGCATGAATTTTGTGTACCAGGCCTCTATTGGAACATAATGAAGAAGCTGCATGGCTGGATGCAAAAGATTCAATACATTATGTTAATCTTCCACTCAGTTTTTCTGATTAAATACTTACAAAGCAGATAAAGAAATTGGCAGAGGTCACCACAAACCAAGGACAACTATTAAATACAGTGATTGGAAGACTGTTTAAATTTTCTCTAGTATGCATGGGGACTGTTGACACACTGAAATTTATATTCATTCATATGAAAGTAAAAGCTCATTATCAATTTCATTATGCCATTATATGACCTCTGGCACAGTTTCTGGCATACACTAGACTCACTCATGGTAAATATTTCTTGAATGAATAAGTGGCATCACTTAATTATCAATCAAACATAGGAAGGCATAGTAAAAAATGCAACCATTTTCCCAGTCAGAAATGCCAGAATTAAGATTATAAAAATGTCAACTTTCATTAAATGTGCTCCTGTTGAGCCAGCCTATTCATTTTATTTGAATCATTTTTTTTTTAGTAATAAATTCAAATGTCATTATCTTACCCCTTGTCAGATTGGGCACACCGTTTCTCAGACATGGAAGTAGCATTTTTTGGACCTTTCCCACCTCAGGACCTTCCTATTTGCTATAATCTGCTACAACTATATGCATGTCTGTTTTCTTCATTTAGAGCTCTCCTTCAGAGAAGCTTTTGCTATCCAACCACAGACACCTAATAACGCACACATTTCCTTTTCGAAATGTTCCCTGCCTTTTTTCCTTTTCATCATTTAATGTCATCTGATGATATACATGTCTGTCTCCCCTCCATGCCCAACTCAGAATGCAAGTTCAATAAGAGAGCGAGTTAGTCTGGTCACTGATATTTTCCTGGTATCTAAAACATTGCTGGGAACATAGTAGAGAAGAACTGTTAGATGGATGAATGCACTATTAAACTTAATTTTGTAGCTATCATTATTTACCTTTGTGAAAAGGCATAGTTCCAAAAGAAATGCTACTTTCTACTCTCATTTCTATGAATCATGGAGATTTGGCTTTTCTGTTTATAATTTAAGCTGTGAGTCACATATTTTATACTACAGGCCTGTTGCACAATATTCATGCAAGAATAGGACTTCCTTCCACTGGCTTCACTTCCAGCTGCCTGGGAGCCAGCAAGTCCTCACTCCTGTCCAAAACACCACTCCTGTAGCTCCCACTGCTGCCCCCCCCCCCCATAGCAGGCATCCAGCCACTCCACGCTTGCATATGCAAATTAGCCCACCATCTTTGTTGGGTTAATTTGAATGCTCACTCTAATTGGCTGTGGGCATAGCAGAAGTATCGTCAATTTACTATTTGTATATTATTAGGTAAGATTATTGGAACAAAGAGTGCCCACATACTTATAGCACTTTTATAGAAAAAAAATTCTCAAGGCCAATCATATCCATCTGAACATGATCAAATTACTATATGTTAATAACCACTGCTTATTAGGTCAGTAATTAATTGTCAGTACTCTCATATTATCTCTATAATATATTCTTGCATGATAATCTTGCTATCCCATTAATCACCCATGAGAGGTAACATCAACATTTGAGGACTGAATGAGACATCACCAGTACCATTTTTGAAGCATCTAAACAAGCAGTTAAAATGTTTGGCCCATCTCAGTGGATTTAAAAATAGTGAAAAAAAATATTGAAAATAGTGTTTTACAAAGGAGTATGGATTTATAATTTTTAACATAATTATTTCAACTATATCAGTGCTTCTGAAACTTTAATGTGCTCTTGTTAAATTGCAGAATCTGATTCTGTAGATAAGAGTGAGGACCAAGATTGTGCATTTTTAACAAGTTTTCAGGTGATGTTACTGTTGCTGGTCCTTGAATCACCTTAATCCACAGGGTGTGGATATACCCAGTCAGAAGCTAACATCCCTGCCTAAATGTAGACATTGTGATGTACACTTTTAAGTTCTTTAGAAAACTTATTCCTATCTAACATTTTTTTATGTTCTTTTTTTCATTGGGAGTCAGCTTCTTTAGAGATTAAGGAGATCTGGGATCTTGCCTCTTGTGATCATTACGGGGTCACCAGGGCATTGAAATGTATCTGATATCTCCAGACACAATACTAGCATGTGTTAATGTGTGTGTGTGTGTGTGTGTGTGTGTGTGTGTGTAGATATATAATGTTATATGTAGTATTATATATAGTGATATATAAAGATATATCTTCAACCCTGTCACATGCCCTGACTGAAAACTAAACTGTGACCTTCTGGTTCATAGATTGACGTTCAACTACTGAGCCACACTGGCTGGGCTGTGTCTCATTTTTAAAACTCCAGGTTTGATCAAAAGCTATGCCAGCTAAAAGGCTCCCCTTGCCGTCTAGACAATCATTTAAACACACACACACACACACACACACGCGCACACACACACACACACACACACACACACACACACGCTTAAACACGAGCCAAAACCTCCAAATCTTCCCTAGGGAGAAACTGTTTTTTGCATGTCAATCCTAGCTAAGTAATGATATTACCATTTTAGGTATGTGTATATGTTGTGTCTATTCTCACAATTCACCTTTTCTTGCAATTTAGACTCCAATTTCAATGAATTGACTAATATTAATAATTAATGTCACATTGTTAGCCCTATTGGGGAAAAAAAAGGAGTTAGGACCAAGGACAGATACTCAGCCTTCAGAAGAAAGTAGGAAATAGAAAGCACAGAGTAGACAAGTGGTGTCACTGTAGGAAAGGCAGGAAAGGAGGAGGGCAGATTTTAGACTTTCATATTTTGTCTGAGTGTGCTTTAAGTTGCATAGATCGGTTCAAATGGAAGTATAAACTGAAGAATGTTAGTATATGACCACAAGCAAGTGGCTCTATATTTTATTATTTATGATGATAAATGGGTGTAATAAATTAGTTGACCCTTAGGTATGGGGGGATGCAGTACAAACTCAATAGTTATAATATGGTTATTATAACACTCACCTCAAGGTTTAGTTGCAATCATTCAAATGATCATAGCAGGGGAATATGTCAATATGCACAGACTAGTGTTTCCTGGTTTGGCATACTAGTATTTGTGAAAATTCTAGCTTATCTATGCCTCCTTTATTCTTTCAAAAGATATGAACTAAAAAATGTATATCCCCCTCCCTATTGTTACACTATAATTTAGTACTGGAATTGTAATCCTGCCAGCATATCTAATGAGCTTCTTTAGTCCTATTTTAAAGCTTTTTATCTTTATAAATAATAGCTAAGTAAACTTAAGGCACTTTGACAATTTCTTTAGCTTAATGTATTCAAATCCACAGTTGGCACTTCATTTCTTTTCATTTAAAAATAAATCTATCTTGTCTTAATAGGCTCTACATGAATACACACATCTAACAATATACATCAGAGCAACACATCGAGAATAATGGACTCGTTACCTTTATAAGAAACATGCCATTTCCAGAAATGTCTCCAAGTCAACATATTCTTTTTTTTTTAATCCTCACCCAAGAATATTTTTCCAATTATTTTTAGAGCGAGTGGAAGAGAGAGAGAAAGACAGAGAGAAACATCAATGGGAGAGAAACCCATTGATTGGTTGCCTCCTGCATGAGCCTCAACCAGGGCCCGGGCCAGGAAAAGCCTGCAACCAAGGTATGTGCCCTTGACCAGAATCAAACCTGGGACCCTTCGGTCTTCAGGCCAATGCTCTATCAACTGAGCCAACAGGCTAGAGCTTATCCTATATAATAACAGGTCAACATATCCTATATAATAACAGCCTAAAATATGCTAAGTATGTGACCATTAGTTTGACCTTTTGACCAGTTGCTATGACATGCACAGACCACCAGGGGGCAGATACTTCAACCGGTAGGTTAGCTTGCTGCTGAGGTCAGCCAATCGGGACTGGACAAGATGGGCTGGACATGCCCTGGAGCCAACCTTCTGCAGTCCCTCCCTGGCCTCTAAACTATTTATTCTATATAATTACTTCCTTTCGATGCGCATGAATCCATGAACCAAGCCTCTGGTTCTTAAAATATTTCAGAACAACACAGTATTTGAATAAGAATTTCCAAATATAGATAATGACTTTTTTTTTTCAAGAAGATTTCCATAAACATATGACAAATTATTTAATACTTTCATTGATTTTAGAGAGAGAGAGAGAATGAGAGGGAGAGAGACACATCGATGAGAGAAAAGCATTAATATTGACCAGCTGCCTCTTGCATATCCCCCTAATGGGAATCCAGCCTACAACCTAGGCATGTGCTCTGACCAGGAATTAAAACAACGGTTTCTTGGTGCATTCATGGGTAGATGCTCAACCATTGAGCACCACTGTCTGGGCTCTATTTAATATTTTTGAGAGCTTTTCCTTCTGAAGAGATGTTTCCTATCAAATATATCTATTAGGTGGTTCTATATAAAGGCATACCTCGTTTTATGATGCTTCACAAGTCTAGCCTTTTTTTATAAACTGAAGGCAAGAGCCTCCACCAAAATTTTTACAAGTGGCTTCATTGCTATACTCACTTTATCTCAGTGGTCTGGAACCAAACCTACAATATCTGAGGCATGCCTGAACATGGTTTCTTGTGTATACTCCCATGCCTTCAATAGTTACCTTTTAATTTTTGGAGAAAACTTGGAAAATATTAACTATGAGAACAATTTGGCAACTTCTAAAACATAGTTCTGGAGCAACTAGTCCTTATATCCAACATATCCACTTCCATTATAAGTGAACATGTAAATTGAAAACCCAACCAAAATGTCACCTAAGGAAGAAATCTGCATGCTTCAGGAATAAACTGAGACTCATGACATAAACAAGAAACTGCATTAAGCCCAGCTGGCCTGGCTCAGTGGCTGAGTGGCAATCCATGAACCAGGAGGTCAGGGTTCGATTCCCAGTTAGAGCACATGCCTGGGTTGTGGCTCAATTCCCAGAGTGGAGAGTGCAGGAGGCATCCAATCAATGATTCTCTTCTCATCGTTGATGTTTCTATTCCTCTCTCCCTCTCCCTTCCTCTCTCTGAAGTCAGTAAAACATATAAAAATAATGGCAACACTCCAAACATGATGTTTTTAGAAATTAGAAACACTTACTTGCTTTGCTTTTCCATGCTAGCTACCCTGAGGCATTCCCATCTTGAATTTAGGAGATTCATTTGTTCTTGTACTTCAGTTTCTTCATCCTCTGATAACTTTCCTGTCCGAAGCAGCTGACTTCCCAATTGGAGGACATTACCAACCCGTCCCTGATGGGATGTCAAGTCCATCATGTACCCCTGAAAAGGAAAGAGGTTGACAGCAGTGATTATCACTTGGGTAAATCATTATAGTTTTTATTTCTTTTCTAAATGTGTAATCCTTTTAAAATATATTTCCAGTAAAAGCATTTTAATTTTTATTCAAAGAAAATAATTAGCTTAGGTCACCTTCTGCAGAAACAAACCCTGAGATTAGGGTTTGTGTGCAAGTGATTTATTAAGGAAGAGCTCCCGGAGATCTGCTGAAGAAGCAGGAAACAGGACAGAGAAGGAGAGGAAGGCCAGTAAGTGTGTCATCTCAGGAAATGTTTACTAGTCAGGGAAGGGATAGCACCTGGGTACTCTGGAGTGTAAGTTATAGTTCAATATTGTCTTGAACCAAGAGAAGGGAGCTGGACTTTCATATTCCTGTGTGAGTCATTGCAAAATCAGATCTTAGCACTTCAAGTAGTGTTTTCCAAGTCAGAACTATAAATGCTGGCTGTTCAAATCCCAAGATCATGAACATTTATTTTTTCCATGCCAAAATTAAAACTAAATTACCAAAGAAAGGATATGATTGTCTAATACTTAATCTTGAAACCAATCCTATATAATAAAAGCATAATATGCTAAGTGTCCACTAATTTGGTTGACCGCTCGACCAGTCACTATGATGTGCACTGACTACCAGGGCGCATATGCTCCTACCAGTACATTATCTTGCTGCTGAATCTGGCCAAGGCCAAGAGTCCCCTACCAGTGCACAAATTCATGCACTGGGCTTCTCATACAAAATTAAATTGAAAGAAAAAGTAAACAAACCTAAATTCCAAAAATACCAGCATCTTACACAGCAATTGAGATAAAGAGACTTGCCATTATGATAAATCATGTGCTTTGTTTCATAAATCAATGTTTTGCTTTACCTCATGAGTATGAAATTGTTCTTTCACTTCCTCTACATCTTTAGAAATCTCTCCTTGTGCTTGTAATGTGTCCTCAGCTGATAGAAGCCACGAAAGTACTTCCTCTAGAGCTGTTTGGTAACTGTCCAGGTTTACTTCTGTCCCCATCAATGAACCACCAAATGACTTGTCCTCAGGAGCTCCCAAATGCTGAAGGATAAAATAAATTGAGTGTTATACAGTTAGTATTTTTGCAGACAGTTCCAGTACATGAAATGATAAAATGAATGAAATATTTAAAATGCTAGGAATGCCCACTTGTATTATCAGAGACATGAACGGAAGACACACAATAGTGAGCCTGTATTTTAACAACCTCACAAATATACAGGCATATTTTCAAATGTTACTTTAAATCCACTTGGAATTAATATTTTATTAAAGTTATTCTGGATTACTTAAAGAGATTAGTATATAATTTCTTCATTTTATATTTGAAATGCTATAAATTTTGATCCATAAGTAACTTTTTCAGTTCATATTTTAAATGCTTTACATATACATTATTGGTATTACATTTATATACTTTTGCAATGACAGTAAAGAAAACATCTCTTCCCCAAAGCTGCAGAGTAATAAAATGTTTCTGAAAATTTACAGAGCAGAAGAGTTATCCATGTGAAAATATGTGGAGGGAGATGGGTAAAAATAAAAAAGAAATACCTCATTTACACATTTGAAATTTCTAACAGTATAATGACTTCTATAAATTAAGCCCTTTTTTCCTAAAAGCCTTGGTTTAAATAGAAAAATTTATCTTAGGGGAAATAAAGTATAAAAGTATTTGCTTCCTAATTGAATTAGTAGGAAGTTAGTGAGATTCTTAACAGTTGTCTTGGAATTTTTGCTGGGACCCTAAAGCTGAGAATAATAGGTATAAATTATCCATATTTCTAACAAGAAAATCCAGGCCATCTAAGAAGGAATTGCTGAAAGATGACCACAGAACTGACTCCTTAACCCTGAATCCACTACCTAGAGTAAAGTTACATAAGAAGAAGCAAAGAGATTGGAAAATTATGGTGAGAAAATATTCCTTCAGAGTGCTATGCATGTCCACATCTCCCACCTCACACTAAGTAATGGAGAATTCAAGAGAATTGCCTATACATAATAGAGTAGTATCCAGAATAAAATATTGACTTCTAAATCTAGCTGTGTGTTTGAAGAGGTTCAGAAGTGATGAGATCAGTACTACCAAGTGATAGGAGAGACCCCCTAGGATAATCTTAGGGCAATTATCAATGGTAAAAATCGAGCAAATAAGCAAATGTGCCTGAATGTTTTGTTTGGTCAAGTGCACTCATGCTAGGTTGCTTGACTTCAAAAATCCTGAGAAGGACCACATTCAAAAGGGTTTCCTGCTGAGGTAAGAAACATAGGCCAACTATTGGCATAGAAGCAAAAATACTGGAGAAATATTTCATGAAAAATCTTTTTTTTTTAGAAAATTATTTTTTATTTTATTTTTAAAATTTCTGTATTGATTAAGGTATTATATATGTGTCCTTATCCCCCATTACCCCTCCCATCCCCTACATTCATGCCCTCACCCCTCTGTTGTCTATGTCTATTGGTTAGGCTTATATCCATGCATAGAAGTCCTTTGGTTGAATCTTTTGTATACTCCAAATATAGCAAGCCAGCCTTGGGCCTTAAAAGCAGGGTTTTGCAAAGGAAACAAAAGGCAGTGTAGAACAATCAGAAGCTGCTTGAGGGATTTAAGAATCTTGACTAGAGAAAACCCATCTTTTTTTAAAAATAGTTCTCCCCTGTCATGACTACCTTGAACTTCCAGTTCCCCTCAATGCTGGGCCTTACACTACTGAGCTGCCAGGACCAACTTAATTGTGTTCTTCTGATAAATGTGCCCATCAATTTAAAAAAATTTACAGTATAAATTTACCCAACTATTAAGTACTTTAAGATGGCAAAACATAGTGGAATTTGGTGTGATATTTTCATAAAATGACATGTTCTCTACCTGTTTCTAGAGAAGTGCCAAAAATACATCATACTGATAAGTCAAACTCACCCAACTCTAGTATTTCAAAAAAGTGTAAGTGCCCTGAGAGGGTTATTTGCAAAGACCCTCCCATGGTAAAGACAATTTCTGAAGTTCTTAAGGGTTATAATAAGTTCCATGGAATATATCCCTTCTACCCATCCCTAAATACTTTTCTAAACATTATAAATAAAAATATCAAAGTAAGAATTAAGAGGAGAAAAGTAGTTCCACTGTACCCAAGTCTCAGAAGAACCCCATGCTTATTTTATCTGCTTCTTGACATGGCCAATTAAAAATTCTGAACAATTTAGTCTTTGAACTTGGGTTTTATAAGGAAAGTCCATAAGCAGAGGAAACAACTGCAATATGTGTGTATTTCCCATTTGCATATTTTTATGTTCCATGAGCACAAAATTCAGGTGGACCTACAATAGGTGAGAATTTAGTGCAACTCAAGCAAGTGCAAGGTAAGTGTGCTATATCTGTGATTGAGTGAATGAGGGCACTAACAGCCCCAAGAGGCCATGTTTTATATTTAAAACAGAACTTGCATCAAAGCCAGAAAGAAGGCAATTCTAGGAAAACACAAACAACCAAGAAACTCTATCACATCCTTGTTCACTCATATTTCTTTCTTATATTAGCCAACCATTTATGCTAAAACTGATAACATGGAAAGAAAAGAGAAAGAAATGGCAACCCAGACTTCCTTTTCCTTTCAATCTTTCCTTACTCATCAATAAGCTGAAAGTAAAGAATAATGGTAGAATGTACACCTATCAAGAAGTGAAATAGCAACAGCTGAGTTAGTTGCATGTTATTTCCATGTTAAGACTGAAATACATAATGCAAGCTAAAAATACAAATTACTGATAACAACAATTCTGCATGAGTTAAATGTTCATGGATTTGTATGGACAATTGCAACTACACAATATAACAACCAGCAGTAAAAACCATGCTAATACTTTAATTTTTTATTAAGTATGAGCAAATAAAAATCACCATGGAAAGTCAAAAGAGAGACCATGAAATAAAGAAAAGACTTTTATATTTTTAGTGATTTGAACAGTACTTTTTTCCTGCATTTTCTGTTTTGTTTTGTTTTTTAGTTTTCTTAAATATATTTTATTGAATTTTTACAGAGAGGAGGAGAGAGGGATTCAGATTTAGAAACATCGATGAGAGAAAATCATCAATTAGCTGCCTCTTGCACACCCCCTACTGGGAATGTGCCCACAACCAAGGTACATGTCCTTGACCCGAATCGAACCTGGGACCTTTCAATCCACAGGCCGATGCTCTATCCACTGACGAAACTGGTTTTGGCTCTTTCCTGCTTTTTGAACAAAGAGCTCTGAGTTTCATTTTTCACTAGGGTACAGAAATTACGCAGCTAGTACTGTGTGTAGGTAGAAAAAAAGTATATTTCAATCCTGGATATTTTGCCATCTCTGGGTTACACGTGAGAATTTATAGGAGTTTGATTATGCTCAGTAGATAGAATGGAATTGCAAAACCCAAGGGCTATGGAGGCAAACAATCAGTGTTTAAGTTTTTACTAAGAACTGAAGACTTGTCACCCTGGGAAAGTAGCTTAGCCCTATTATAAGCCTTAGTTTGCTCATTCATAAATGGGAGTAATAATACTTCTCTAATAAGATTGTGGAAAGAATCAAAGGAGAGTACATAAAGTATCTGGCAGAATGTCTGACCATGTGTAAGACCCAAATAAAGTATGGTAAGCTGTAATTCTTTTTAAAAAATATATTTTATTGATTTTTTTACAGAGAGGAAGAGACAGGGATAGAGAGTTAGAAACAATGATGAGAGAGAATCATCGACCAGCTGCCTCTTGCACACCCCCGACTGGGGATGTGCCTGCAACCAAGGTACATGCCCTTGATCAGAATTGAACCCGTGACCCTTCAGTTCATAGGCCAACACTCTATCCACTGAACCAAACTGGTTTCGGCTGTAATTATTATTAGACTCTCATACATAAGATCCATTTTGAAGCACTAAGGTTACCATCTTAAGTCACTGTCCAAATTTCAAGAGCCAGATAATTACTGTAGAAAAAAAAGACCCACAACAATTCTAAGAGCAAACATCAATTAAATCCAACTGTTCTTTTAATTTCAACCTCAACCTAGCTGCTATTTAAAAGTTCTAAAAAAAAAATCATTAACATGCCTGAGTTTAGATAATCTTCTCCAAGTGATAAATTATAAACAACACTATTACTCAAGGAGCACAACACTATATTTCACCATCGTACAATCTAGATTTAAAAAGTAAATGCTTTATGATTTACTGATATTTACAGAGGCTTGAATTTTTGGAGAAAATCTTAAAAGGCAAAGCTTTATACTCAAGGACATGATGTCTAGTGCTCATAAATTCTGAATCTAAATGTTTTGTCTGACAATGTTCATAAAACAAAGTCTTTACAAAGACAGCCATATTAAAGTTAAATTTAAACATGAATAAGTTCTATAAAATTACATACATAATTCAATTAATCATTATTTACATACATAAATTTAACTACAAATGCACATGATTATGGTAAAATTGTCAACTGGGTTCTGAGTAATTCTTTCTTTCTCTAAACCATTATTTTTCCAATTTTAAGTCATGATCCATAAAGGATTCATGAAATCATTTTAGTAGGCCATGACCAAGAGTATCCCATTTAAAATTAAATAGAGTATGTGACTATGTATACTGATGGATGGTAACTAGACCTATTTGGTGATCATTTTACAATGTATACAAATAATGAATAATTATCTTGTACACCTGAAATTAATATATTATATGTCAACTAAAGACCCAGTGGACAAAAATCGTGCATGGGGGTGTATGTCCCCAGCACAGCCTGTACCCTCTCCAATCTGAGATCCCTCTAGGGATGTCCAACTGCCTGTTTAGGCTCAATCCCAAACATCGCTGTCACAATCCAGGACTGCTAGCTCCCAACTGCTCACTTGCCTGCCAGCTTGATCACCTCCTAACCACTCCTTGCCAGCCTGATAGATGCCTAACTGCTCCCCTGACATCCCTATTGTCCCTAACCATCCTCCCCTATAGACCTGGTTGCTCCCAACTGCCCTCCCCTGCTGGCCTGATCACCCAC